CGTAGTTGACCACGGTTCGTGTCCCGGACCCGGTGGCTTAAAACTCATGCCGGGCGCGTGTGCGTGCGTGCCCAAGATCCCGAGAGGAGAATGGAAGAGAAGGGATTGCGGCGTGACCATCTCCCTGGGGGGGGTGATTTCTCGCTTTCTGTCTCTCTGTCTCTCTCTGTCTGTCTGGCGAGCGCACGCGCCTTATAGCGAAAACCTCTCCAAAAAAAAAAAGAATTTGCAGTCCGTGCTCGCTTCGGCAGCGCATATACTAAAATTGGAACGATACACAGAAGATCAGCACGGGCCCTGCGTAAGAACGACACGCAAATTTGTGACGCGTTCCATATTTTTAAGGATTTAAAACTAATGAAAAGTAAATAAATAAAAATGGAAAAATAAAGAAGAATTTGCAGTCAGAGGTTGGCCGAGGGGTAGTCATCTGAAGGCTTAGCTGTTGTGGTTGGCAAGTTGTTGGGCCCCCTAGCTGTTGGCTGGGGGGCCACAGTTCCCCCTAGGTGGGCCCTCCACAGGGCTGCTGGGGTACCCTCATGGCAGGGTGGCTGACACCCTCTAGAGCAGAAATTCTCCAGAAAGACAGAATCTGGGTGTGTTGTAGACGCTGTTGGATCTCCAGCGCTTCGCCTCATGCCTGGGTCAGGGCATTCTGTGACTCCAAAAACCTGAGCTGCCATAGGCATTCTGTTCTCATTCCTTTACATTCTCCTGCAAGGTCTTTTGGTGACTCTGCTTATGTCAGCATTGGCTTCAGGACTTTTTATTTTTTTCTTCTTTTTTAGAGTTTTTTTTTTGCCTTAGGGTATGTGTTCTTGTGTGTGTGTGTGTGTGGGGGGGGGGGGGGGGGGGGAAAGGATAAAAAGAAACATCAGTGAGAGGAAAAGTGAGAAATCACTCCCGGGGGGATGGCTACAACACAATCCCTTTTCCTCCATTCTTCTCCATGGATCTTGGGCACGCACGCACACGCACCAGGTGTGATTTTTCAAGCCACTGGGTCTGGGACTCGAACTGCACTTGGCCATGTGGGAGTCCAGTGATGTAATTGCTACACTATCTGCTGGCCCCAAGGTGCATATACCTGAGGGTTCATATATATCTGGGTGGGAGAGTCTTGTGGGAAAGAGAAAACTCAGGCCTGCGGAGTCTCGGGCTTAATCACCCCTCCTTTCAGAGCTCATCCTTTGGGCTCTTGAGTGCATTCTGAGAGAGTCCATGTTCACGGAAAGCAAGATAAACCCACACAAGGTAGAGAGCCACGTCGGTCCTGAGGGGAAGAAGAAAACGCATGGGAAGTAGCTGGGAAGTAGCTCACATCCTGCCGAGGGTAACCAAGGGGTCCAGTGTTTTCGTTAGGCCAAGAATGACTGATCAGGGACCAGCAATTAGCGTAATGGCTATGTCGCTGGACTTCCACGTAGTCGACCGCGGTTCGAGTCCCAGACCCAGTGGCTTAAACTCATGCCAGGTGCATGTGCGTGTGTGCTCAAGATCCCAAGAGGAGAACAGAGGAGAAGGGATTGCGGCATGGCCATCCCCCCTGGGGGGGGTGATTTCTCGCTTTCTGTCTCTCTGTCTCTCTCTGTCTGGCGAGCGCACGTGCCCTAGAGCAAAAAACCCCCCCAAAAAAAAAAAAAAAAAAAAAAGAATGACTGGTCACAGTTGTCCTTCTGGTTAAGTAGCATGTGCAAAGACCCCCAAGGCAAGTTGTGGAGCAGGTTCTGGGGCTGGGCTGTAAGGGCAGAGCCAGGTGAGGCTGGAACACAGGATTAAAGCCCAATTCCAGGGCCGTGGGATCATTGAGAAAGTCATGAAGAGGAAGAAAGGCAGGGCTGGGGTGGAGACCACAAAGCAGGGAGATCGCAAGGGTCTAGACAAACGTCGTGCGGATCTGAACCAGAGCTGCAGCCTGAGAAAGGGATGTAAGGGAATGGGAGAGGAGACAGTTGTTGGACATGCTCAGATGGAAAGGCGGCCAGATGAGATGCCCGGATTAGATTAGCGGGGAGGAGACGGGGATGGTGGGTGAGTGCCGTTCCCCTCTGAACAGTGCTTGGATGTCCAGGCGTTCGCTCCATGTCCTGGGTCAGAACGAGACAGCAGAGAGCCTGGGATCCAGCAGAGTTTGGGCCTGGCTGTAGCCAGGGGTGAAGTCTGGGGTAAAGCCACCCCGTGCTTTGTCTCCCAGGCAACCGACCCTGCTGAGAAACGTGTGCTAATGACTCGCGAGGTTTCCAGGTTTCCAAGCATTTGCACGTGGGCACGTGGATCTTTGTCTCATTTCACTGTCCCGGTGGGAATTATGAGCTCTGTTCTACACAGGAAGCAACCGAGACCTCGAGGATCAGAGGAGTCCACTCTCTTCTCTCAGGTCAAGGAAGTGGCAGAGTCCGGCCTGGAACCCAGTTGTCCGGACTTTCAGCTAAGTCTTCTCCAACACGTTTTCCAGGTTTCTACTTTCAGAGCTCCCTTAACATCATTTTTTTTTTTTTTTGAGAGATTTTTGCTACAGGGAGCGTACACTCACCAGACAGACAGAGAGAGAGAGACAAAGAGACAGAAAGCAAGAAATCACTCCCCAAGGGAGATGGCCATGCCGCAATCCCCTTTCCTCTATTCTCCACTTGGGATCTTGGGCATGTACCCCTACATACCTGGTGTGAGTTTGAAGCCACCAGGTCCAGGACTTGAACTGCGGTCGACTATGTGGGAGTCCAGGGACGTAACTATTATGCTATCCGCTGGTCCCAACAGCCACTTTTACTGAATCAGAGTCACAGGGTTCCTCCCAGGCCTCTGTGAGAAGGGTAGGTGTGGCAAGTTTGGGGCTGTTTGCTGTGTGTGTCTGTGTGTGTGAGATCCTGATAGAACCGTAGAGTGAGAGTTTTGGAGGGAGGGACAGAGAGTTCGAATCCATCAACCTGGGTCCCTCAAGGTAGGCCGACGAAGCTGAGGCCCAGTTCAGGAAGTTCATCCCTGGCTGTGTCCACCCCTCCCCCTGTCACACCCCTCTTGGCTGGTTCCCTCTTCCACGAATGGGTGGTCAGGGTAGTGCCAGGATCCAGAAGAGACCTACGAATTCCATCCTCTGCCTACCTTCTCCGGCTCCCCTCCCCTCGCAGCCAGAACACCTAGGCGCTTTCTGCAACAAGCTCTCTAAACGATCGGAACTTTCTCCCCAATCGGCACTTTTTCAAGCTACATTAGCATTTATTGGTTTGATATTTACATTTGGCAAAGGAGCACCCAGTCCCTGGGTCCCTGGGAGCATACACCGTCAACTGAAACAGACGCTAATGGCCGTCGTCCCTCCGACCTCCCCTTGTCCCTACCCCATCTGCCACCTGCCTTGTCCTTCCCCGTCTCCCAGTACATCAGAAGACAGGTTGGGAGGCTGAACTTTACAGACCCAAAGTTCTGCTGAGAAATGGGCAGAAGAGAGAGGAGTTCTCCAAACGTCAGGCCGAGCAGGGACAGCCTGAATTTGCATCTCACAGACCATTGGACTATGGTGTCTTTTTTTTTTTTGGAGAGGTTTTTGCTACAGGGCGCATGCGCTCGCCAGACAGACAGAGAGAGACAGAGAGACAGAAAGCGAGAAATCACCCCCCCAGGGGAGATGGTCACGCCGCAATCCCTTCTCCTCCATTCTCCTCTCGGGATCTTGGGCACGCACGCACACGCGCCTGGCGTGAGTTTAAGCCACCGGGTCCAGGACTTGAGCCGTGGTTGACTACATGGGAGTCCAGAGACATAGCCATTATGCTAACTGCTGGTCCCAAGACTATAGTGTCCTTGAGGACAGATATCCATGGAAATTCTTTGAATTTCTCCCCCTTCCCCTCCAGGGACAAAGACCAAGCTGTGCAAACAGTAGTTTCTCAAGGAACATTTGTCTACTCTGGAATCAGTAGGAAATCCGTTTCTCGCTCCCTCCTTCTGACAGCTGCTAACGGAGAGGGTGGAGCAAAAAGCCAGGAAATATAAGGAAAACAGGGGCCGCGTGGTAGGGAGAGCAGTTCTCCTTTTTCCCTTGGAGAGCAGTTCTCCCTTTTCCCTTGAAAAAATCCCCTAGGGATTTGTCCAAGGAGCCCGGCTCAGTGAGGTTGTGGTCGTGGAAGTGAGCTGTTTCGTAGGATGTTTTGAGCTTAGCTAGAATTGTCTCTCAAAGTCGGCGCGGGCCTCAGTTTCCTTCTGGTACAATCAGGGTTATGCTCGTTCCTCCGCTCGTGGGCTGGTGGTGAAGATGAAGTGAGGTCAGGCGTGTCATGGGCTCAGGGTATCCAGCAGAGCCCTCCAGAGGCTTAGGAAACATCCATTCCTGGTATTTATTTGCACCCGTGGCCCCAAGCCTTGTGGGAGTGGAGGCCTAAGTGTAAATCACAACTCCCTAAGGCCTCTTAGTGTGTTTATACCGTCCCCTGTGGTTTTCAAAGGGCAAGCTCTCACATCAGCCTCAGAGCCTTGCTACTCTGAGTAGGACCTGCAGATGGCCAGAGCATGGTCATCTAGGAAGCTGCTAGAAAGGCAGACCCTCAGGGCCATCAGGTGGCATGGTGGTTAAGGCACTGGATTCCCACAGGCCAACCGCAGTTTGAGTCCCAGACCCGGTGGCTTGAAAATCATGCATGTGTACCTAAATTCTGGGAAGAGAAGGGAAGAGAAGGGATTGTGGCATGGCCAGCCCCTCCCTGC